CGGGGACATTCCAGTTCTCAGTGATCCAAGTACTGGTGGCTTATGGGTGCTGTAATCCCAACACTTTTTTAGATATCAGGTTCATGAAAGTTGCTTTAGCAGTTTTTTTAGAGGGTTTTGTTTTTTAAAGGATTCCTGACTGCTACATGTTTTTTTTTTAAAAAGCACCCCTGTTTTTCCCCTGGCATGTATGGTTGAACCCCCAAAGGCTGACCCTTTGTGGCTGACCTCCTCTTAGAACAGATGAATCAAATTCGGTAGCTGAGCTGGAAGACCGAGAGACGGGCATCCTGCCAAAATACCTCAGGTTCTTGACTCACCTGCCAGGACTCCTGCGAGGTAGAGGAAGCTGATGCGAAGAACGCCATGCACCATCTCTAGCGGTACCCTGATCATCAGCTGCAGGAGCGCGTTGAACCCCAGCTGTTCTAATCTGGAAGGAAAAGGAAACAGGTTCAACCCTCCATAAGGTCTGCTTGGTCTGGGCTTTAAGAGAAAAAGGGCTATGCGTCACGAGGACTAGAACCTTGAGATGCATCTGAAATTCTCAAAGCCACAAACTTCGGTTTTCCTACACACTTTGAACTTTGTCAGGGCAGTTGCCCAGAGTGGTACCTATTAATCTACTCGCGTTTGCGTGCTTTCTAGTGGCTAGGTGGGCAGGAGCTGGGGTGAGAACAGGAACTCACCCCATCGTGCAGCGCTCGGGTCTCAAACCCAGGCTGCTAGCTTTCCCAGCTGACAAGCTCAGAGTTTTTAACCGCTGATGTTCTGACCTAGGCTTCCCCATGAAGCAGAGTCCTGCTCCTGACAAAATCCCTTTTATTAAATGAATGTGAATTCCTCCCATTCACATTCAGCCAAAGCCTGGAAAACAGTCTTTCAAAGGAATATTTATGACCACAAACCTTATCTATCTTGGAAAGCTTCCATGCAAATATTTTCCAAACGAGGTGCTGTGCAAGGAAAGACTGGGCACAGAGTCTCTGAGATTCACGGACAGATCTTCGGAAATGAATCTAATGACTGACCGACGGAATTGTTTCCTGAAAAAGCCCACTCCCCTTTCGCTCCTCTTTTATTTCCTATAGGAGGGCCAATCACCTTCAATTGTGGCCTTACTCCCAAGTCGAACCTGATTCCTTAGCTGTTCTTTTCTTCCTGCAGCTCTGCGCATGTGCACACTGGGAACAGGCTCCAGCTGTTCCTCTGCCTCACTGATGTCTGACTCTGAAGGCACCTGATCACTGCTAGACAACCTCGGCCCTGTCTCTGCCTCTGATGCAGAGTTCTTGTCCGAGCCTCCCCCAGACTCCTGGACTGGCCCATGCTCTTCCCCAATCTCCTCATTGTCCGACAGCTGCCAGCTCTGCTGGTGGGCCACAACAGCTGAGCCATCCACCACCCCCCCCACGGAACTCACCGATGCCTTAAATTAAAATACAGGGTGAAACTCAAAATATTAACCTCTTTGGATCATACCATGTCGTTCTGATTTGACTGCCAGGAAACCTTCCACCTGATCCCCTGAAATATTGAATTCTACTTTAAATGCCAACTGCCCATCCCCATGAAATAATTCACCCCCCCCCCAGGTCTAAACTGTTTGCTAGCTTTCAGGAAAAGAAAATCTGACCATTATTTAATCACAGTTTGGTGCCTGCCTCCCCAGAGCGCTCCCCCCATCCTCCTTCCATAGAAATGAAAAGCCGATTCCACATCGGCTGCATCTTTTAACATTAAAAGTCTTTTCATGTTAAAAAGAGAATCTTTTAACTTCAAAAAAACACCCAAGCTCCTAGTCCTCATCACTGCCAAAGAAACTGCCCAAATCTGCCTTTGAATATCATCATCCTCATCCTCTTTTAATTACCCCATAATCCCTTGCGGAGTGTTTATTGGCCGGATGCCTTTCCTGTTGTCAATGCAGAGTTTTTCCTCAGCAGATATATTCTCAGTGTGCCCAGAGAAAGAAATATTTGCCTCTATCTAGGATCGAACTCACAGTCCCCCTGATTGTGAGGCGAGATACACTACATATACTGGGCAAAAATAGTTACAGAAAAATAAGGGGGTTGAAAGGCACAATTATATGAAATAATCAGGTTTGGCCATTTGCCTGGCAGGGAAGATTTCTTGTCTGCCAAACTTCCCACGATATTTCTGGTCTGGCTCCCACCTAATTTGTAAACTTTACATCTGTTCTTTTCAACATTCCCTCCTAGCTGCCTTTAGAAAAAGAAAGAAGGAAAGAAAGACGCTTAAAACTAGTCGGGATTTATTATTATTATTATTATTATTAAGCAACAACAGAATTGTATCACAGCGGCAGGGGTGGGTTTCTCGCCCCATTCCAACCGGTTTGGTTGGAACGGGGCTGGCGGCATCCTCGTGCACACGCGCAGTGCACGCATGCGTACTAGCGTCTGTGTGATGCTCCAGCTGCTCCTGGAGGGTCGCGCAGGCGCTGTATGCGTCCTGCACATGCATGGAAGCGCAGAACTCGTCAAAACCGGGTAAGAAATGCGGGCGGGTGGGTGGACCCTTCGGCGTTCCCGGAAGTTAGTTACTTCCGGGTTCGCCGACCAACTGGTTCGCGGGGACTGCCGTGAACCGCCTGAAACCCACCTCTGCACAGCGGCCAGTTGTTTCGCTGGATTTGGCATTGATTACTAGTCGGGCCCCACCCAGGGGCCTAGGACGTTGTAATGTATTTTCGTAATATGCGTGCAGTTCCAAGCAGTGCGGCTTTTTGCATTTGACTGATGGTGATTTTGTCAATTTTTAACTGTTTTAAATGTAATTCCAGTACTTTTGGAATAGCACACAGTGTGCCAATTACCACTGGAATTACCACTGCTGGTTTGTGCCATAATCATTGAATTTCGATTTTTAAGTCCTGGTATTTCGTGGTTTTTTCATATTCCTTCTCGTCAACCCTGTTATCACCTGCTATTGCAATGTCTATGATTGTAACCTTATTTTTCTCAACCAGTGTGATGTCTGGTGTATTTCTTTTTCCACAGTCGCTCAACTTCAATTTGCAAGTCCCAATTTGTGATTTTTTTCTTGCTCTTTATCTTCAATTCGTGCATCTCCAGGTATTGCAATGTCAATGAACCATACTT